CAGTGAAACCAACAGGTTCTGGAAAGCTCCTGGCTGCAGAGACCCATCCAGGGATGTATCCCAGCTCTCCTGCACACCCACATTCCCCTTCAGCTGCACATGTTCCCCTGCTGTCAGCCCTGAACCAGGACCAAACACACCGAGCTCCTGCCAAACTCTCCTCACAGGCCAACGTGGAAGAACACACAAAGCCAAGTGAAACCAGCACGAGAGCAGGAACTGGTAAATTCTTGGGAACAAGCATGACTCTGTCAGCCATGGACACAATCCCCACAGTATCTCTTGGGAATAAACTGGTCTTCACTCCTGTACAACCATCTGTGCCTGCAGGATCTGCTACTGCCCCTAGACAGCCCAAAGTGACACAGAGCACGTCCCAGGCTGCTCCAGCAGTGACTTCTCCCTCTGCAGCTAAGGCTGATGATATCACCACTTCTCCTACAAGCAAACAAGTGTTTCACCTGCCAACATCAACTTTCCAGACTGACCCAAGCAAGGTGCTGCCCACAACTGCCAGAGGGAACACATCAGCTGTGGGTTTGGCATCAGTGGGGAAGGGTGAAGTGAAAGGAGGTGCAGCCCCCACCAGCCCTCTGCCCACTCAGGCACCTGTGGCTGCTTCAGCTCAGGCATCACACCCTGTGGAGCTGTCCCTGGAGGATCCCACTGAGCAGGAGAGTGGTCATTCCATCCCTGGCACTGCCCTGCCTGCTGCTGGACCATCTACAGCAGCAGCATTTGCTGGCTCTGCTAACAGTCAGGTCACTAAAGACTCAGCTGGTGTCCACAAAGGACTTGTCAGTGATGCTGAGAGGCTTCTGGGCAGAGACCTTGTCCAGTTCCTCCCCAGCTCAGAGAGCCCTGCCCACTCTGCTGGGAGCCTGGTGGCACTGACAGCCCAGGGCAGTTCCCTGCTGGGTGTTGGAGGCACTGACTCACCCACGGAGGCTGAGGAGATGGGCAGGATACAGGAGGTGACAGACGAGGCAGCTGAAGGCTTGGTGACTGTCCTGACACTGCTGGACTCGGAGCCCAGTGCCCTGCTGAGGGACTCCCAGCACAGGAGGGGGCTGCAGTCAGATGTCACCGTGCTCAGCGGGTGAGAGAGGGTGCTCAGGGGTGGTGAGACACTGGCACAGGTTGCCCAGAGAAGCTGTGGCTGCTCCATCCCTGGGAGTGTTCCAGGCCAGGTTGGAAGGACTTAAAGCAACCGACCTGGGCTGGTGGGAGGTGTCCCAGAGGTAGAACTGCTTATCTTCAATGTCTCTTCCAACCCAAACCATTCCATGATCCAAATTGCTCCATGGCCTCAGTTGCATGGCTGTGCTGTGGCTTTAAAACACTTGGTGCATTCAGCACTGACATCACACAAAGTCAAAGTAAAGGGTCTCTTCACATTCTGGATATTGATACTGGTCTTCAGACCTAGTTTTCCACCTGAGCTCTGCCTCAGCTCCCCAAAACATCTACATGCAGTTTTGCCAGTGAGAGCATTTGATAGTGCTCAGGTGATGAAATGCCCTGGGAA